ATGTACACGATCTGGCTTTTGGTAATGTACACGATCTGGCTTTTTGGTAATGTACACGATCTGGCTTTTGGTAATGAACACGATCTGGCTTTATGGTAATGTACACGATCTTGCTTTTTGGTAATGCACACGATCTGGCTTTTTGGTAATGTTCAGCGTGAGGGTTTAGATATTGAACTCTCAGGGACCTTCCGATCGTGTTCAACGTGGAGATTTTGATATTGTGCAAGAGGGAGATTTTGATATTGTGCAAGAGGGAGATTTTGATATTGTGCAAGAGGGAGATTTTGATATTGTGCAAGAGGGAGATTTTGATATTGTGCAAGAGGGAGATTTTGATATTGTGCAAGAGGGAGATTTTGATATTGTGCAAGAGGGAGATTTACTTGGAAAAAGCAAACTTTAAAAAGGCAGGGGAAATACTCGCTGAAGTTTGGGGTCAGGCTGTCATTGATGGCTATAATGTGCATGCACAGTATGTTGAACCAAGCAGCACAAGCACAAATCTTCCATCTCCCTCTGTGAATTGGTGTTGGAATCATGTGCAACAGTCTCAATATTTTCTGCAGATCATCAAATGTAATGATGTAACATGCTGCGGAGCAAGACGAACCAACTATAATGAACTATTTCCCAAACGCTTCATTCCAGCTCCGGTACCTTTTATTAGTCATGAAGCAGGCGTCATGGCAGCAGCTATTGGTAGTAGTAATGGTACTTATGGATCACTGTTCCAGAGGCTTGCACTGATTGGTCTGGAGCCCGATCACAGTTACAGTAGCATGCCTTTTGATCTCTGTTGTCCATCGGTGACTGGGAGAATTTCCAAGAGAATATGTTTCTGCGGTAAATATTTCCCATCACAGGCGGAAATGAAAAAACATAAGGTCGTCCATTGCAATATTCCTGCTAGTGAACATAATATGGCAGACGATTCAGAGGAAGAGACTGCCACTCAAATTGAATTAGCAATTGAAGTAATTGAAGACTCAAGAACAGATGTTGTCATTATACGAAACATGTTTTAATGGCTGCAGTCCGAATTTTCCGTTGATTGAAGAATGGTGGATTATTTGTTTATCACATTTTTTAATACAGTGATTCAATAAAATGTTTTTGAACAGTTATTATTTCATTTAGAATTTTGCCTGCAAATAATACGAATTTCTAAAAAAAATCTTTGTAAAAACATACTCTTTATATT